TAGTTGGTTTATGGAATACAGGTTCCCTAAAGGAAACCTGTCATGCCATTTCTAACTTCCAGTTGCCTGGCTGTCATATTTGCACTTTTGCTTTAGAATCGGAGCTGGAACAAATATACCACTAAGGACTGCTGACTTTTCTAATATGAATCAGTGTTCTGTGTCAGTCAAATCGGAAAGCATTTAAACTAAAGTCAGGCAAATTGCATTCATGGAGGGAGATCAGAAATGGCAGCCCCCATATTTCTCTAACAGGTTTGCTTTAAGATTGTTTTGTAGAAAATAGTTTTTTTGCACATTCCTAGCTGTGAATGGTTGTACAAATCTTTCTTTTGCATTAAATGAAATCCAAAGTTGCCAGTTTACCAGTCCAGGCCCGAGTACCCATACCTCTCATGTTATTCCATATTTTTTATGTTATTGTCTACTCTTCTATATCTGAATTACCTTTCTACCTAGCCATTTCTCCACCGTCTCCCTTCTTTATCTCTCCCTACTTACCCATCCCTGTTTGTAGGCTCAATGAAAGAAGCCTGCAGTGTGGGCCGCAGTGGATCTATCACGCTGATTACACACTAGCTGGGAAGGGGGATTTGGAAGGATTTTTTTGTATTTTATTCTGGGCCTCTAGGGTCGTAAATCTCAAAGCAGCGTGAGAAAAGACCCGTCCTTACAGTTCAATTACACTGGGCTAATGAGCCACCCAAGAAAAATGGGGCTATTGGAGATCTGTACAGGAGTCAGAACAAGAAAGAGACAGGGAGGGGGAGAGACGCACTGCAAAGCCAAGACAAATCAAGAGATTGTCAGAAGAGACATGCGAGAAGAAAGACGGGGACAGACAGTCGCATACAGACAAAAAGAGAACGAGAGAGAGAAAGAGACAAGAGAAACAAAGAAAGGGAAGAGGGATCTAGCGCAGACAGGTTCAAGAACCAAACAGCCAGACACACACATACTCTGAAAGAAAAAGGCAGAGTGCCAAAAAGACATACAGGACTGAATACAGAGCGCCAGAAAAAATAAAAACACAGGAAAGTGCAGAGCAGATACTCGTACAAAGCAAAGAATAGGCAGATGCACAGCGCAGAGTAGAGAGCGCCAGTCATAGATACGATAAAATAGAGCTCGCCAGGCAGGAGATGCACAAGAGAATAGAGGGAGCTAGGCAAGAGATGCACAAGAGAGTAGAAGGCACCAGGCAGGAGATGCACAAGAGAGTAGAAGGCGCCAGGGAAGTGATACACAAGAGAGTAGAAGGTGCCAGGCAGGGGATGCACAAGAGAGTAGAAGGCACCAGGCAGGAGATTCACAAGAGAGTAGAAGACACCAGGCAGGATATGCACAAGAGAGTAGAAGGCACCAAGCAGGTGATGCACAAGAGAGTAGAGGGCGCCAGGCAGGAGATGCAGAAGAGAGTAGAAGGCGCCAGGCAAGAGATACACAAGAGAGTAGAAGGCGCCAGGCAGGGGATGCACAAGAGAGTAGAAGGCGCCAGGCAGAAGATACACAAGAGAATAGAGGGCGCCAGGCAGGAGATGCACAAGAAAGTAGAAGGCACTAGGCAGGAGATTCACAAGAGAGTAGAAGACACCAGACAGGATATGCACAAGAGAGTAGAAGGCACCAAGCAGGAGATGCACAAGAGAGTAGATGTTCATCTTCTGCTTGGTGCCAAGAGAATACAGAACATCAGGGTGGAGATGCACAAAACAGAGCACAACAGGCAGAGGCACACAAAAGTAGAAAGTGCCTGGTAGGAACTGCAGATGAGTAGCGGACACACCAAAAAGGTAAGAGTAGCGGTCACCAGTCAGAGGCAGAAGACATTGTAGAGGGTACCAGGATGAGGTACAAAGCAGTGCAGAGGGCACCAGGGTGAGGTACAAGGCAGTGTAGAAGGTACCAGCTAGAGGCACAAGACAGAAAAAAGATAGCATCAGAGGCACAAGACAGTGTAGAAGGCACCTGTAGGAAGCACAAGACAGAGTAGGGGTCACCAGTTAGAGGCATACGACAAAGTAGAAGGCACAAGACAAAAAAGACACCATCAGAGGCACAAGACAGTGTTGAAGGCACCTGTGGGAAGCACAAGACAAAAGTAGGGGTCACCAGTTAGGAGGCACAAGACAAAGTAGAAGGCACAAGACAAAAAAGACACCATCAGGAGGCACAAGACAGTGTAGAAGGCA